AAAAAAAAAAAAAAAAAAAAAATACAACAGGAAATATTGCTGTCTTTATCTAAGAGAGAAAAATAAATTCCACCATGTATTGTACCTCTGTTGTTCTGCCTGCTCAACATCCGTTCTTTCCTTCTCCACGTACAGGATGCCCCCTTTCCCCCAGTGAGCCCCCTTCCTCTGTGGATGGGCTGGATGGGGCTGTTCACCAAAGTTCCCCTTACACTCGTCACCAAGTGAGCAAAAGAACCGAGACAGAGCACAGGGACTCTCATCCTTGGGCAGGTGAGGAGACACCCGGCAGACACCAGCAGGAGCTGATTCTCCCGAGGACAGGACTTTCCCAGTTTTGTTACCAGAAGTCTGAAAGTTGTCCCAATTTCTTAACTCTAGACTTGGTTATTCAGACTCTTCTTGGACCATACAAAAGTTTCACGTCCTCGTAAAAACTTCTTTCCCTGATTTGCCAAAGCCTGTGTCTGCTGCATGTAACCAAGGAGTAACAGTGATACGCACAGTTTAAACTCATATAAATTCCATTAAATTTATATGAATTACTCTCAAGGGCGGTTCGCATTCCTGTTTTACACAGGTGGAATTCAGTTCTTTTCTGGTTGTGTATAAGGGTCATACCAAGGGCCGTCATTATGACTACAACCGACTCTGCAATGCTTATGGTTTCTTTCATGCATATCAGTTTTTCCTTATTTTGGATTCTTTCCTCCCAGAGATTCCCAGCAGGGAAATCAGTGAGGCAAAGGACACAGATATTCTTACAGCTCTTGAAAAATATTGCAAAAATACTGTCTAAAAGGGATCTGCCAATTTATAATTAATTCAAGGGCCCATTTTAGAAAATGAAACCTCCAGTAGCATTGACTATTCCCATCCATTTGGAATTCTGCTACCAATATTTTCTAATGCTCTCATTGAAAAGTGAAGCAAATGGTTCACATATCCTTAAGAGATAAAACTTCTTGCTCAGGCATCCTGAATTACTTCCCCCAATAGTGGTATATTCTATTCATTAACTTCATAGAAGTATCACATAATTTACCAAAGTAAAAATTGCTTTCGTGTCAAAATTATACTGTAATCTCAGAGTACAATTGATTCCCTTTTCTTTGCTAATTCTGCTAGAATTATAGTAGTCTTTGTAAGGAAATATAATATTTTCCCTATGGAATGGGTCATAGAATAACAGTGCAGGAACAAATTTCCCATGAGTTCTAACTAATTATATATGAATGCAAAAAACTGCCGAGACAGCTCTTTTAACAATGCCTACGTGAGCCATCTAAAACTTTGTACTTAAAGGAAAGTAAAGAGGTCTAATTCCTTTCCCTCTTTTGAACTATTTTAATGCCTAGAGTACATTTTAGCAATGATGAGTAGGTGACCAGCCCTTGGACAAGACCGGCCAAATACAAAAACTAAAATTAGTGTCTGTAAGAACAGATCAGAGAACATGAACCCTACGGGGACGAGGGTAGTCAGCAGGTAAGGTGCGCTGCCCTGTCCTTGCTTGGTACCTGCAGAAGGCTGGGGTACATCCACATGACTCCTGGGCTCACCCTAGGAGGTGAGGCTGACACATTTCCTGTTGTGCTTGACCTCTGTCCAGAGTATTTGAAGAAATAAAAGGAGCAATAGGCTGAATAACTACTGCTATGGGCCAACCAACCTTATTTAGGAACTAGCGCTCTGCGTGCAAGCAAGGGGGCACCAGGAAACAGAGTATCCTCAGCCCTCACTGATGTGTGCGGCAGCTCCTCCTCCTTCTCCACCCCAGGGGAGGGATTGGAGCCTTTAATACACTGAGCCTTTAATTCTCACTGAATCTGTCCAACTCATCCTCCTTTGGACTGCAGCTCTCTTGGGCACACTGTTCAGGTTCTGAGGAAGGGACACCGACACTACTGCTGAGGCCAGCTTTACTCTCTCACTTGCAAATGAAAAGTCAGGCTGACTTCCTTCTCAGGCAGGATTCTAGCAACAAGTCTAGAGTCCTCCCGACACTAGGTCCACAAGAGTTAGGGTTGGTTAGGAGGTTTAGAGTTGTAGGCACAGGTAGAGAGGCTCATTCAAAGATGATAAGTGGGAATCTGATACAAAAGAGTTTCACTGAAGATATTAAACTGGCAAAAGCATAGAGGACAGAGCGAAGGGATAATAAGCCAGTTTTAAGTACTGCAGCGGCTGACACAGGTTGGTAAACATGGCCAGAGTGGAAGGAAGAGAGAGAGAGACAGCTCTCAGGAAGAGAGAGAGAGCTCTCTCTCGGATGAAAGATCACCGAAGAGAAAGGAAATGCAGTGGGTTTATGTGTTGTGCTGGTATATTTTATTCTTTATGCTTCTAGCCTACTGACTTAATTACTTTCTGAAAATTCCAAAGTCTTGAAAGTCATAATTCCACTGACTGATAAAACATTCTGAAATATAATTACTAGGTCAAGAAATTCTCATCTGTAGAAAAGGAATTAGAGCTGCACCATTTGTAACAACTTCTCAATGCTAAACCACAGTTCTGAGACCAAAAATAAAAACTCCACTTTTATGCATTTGTAAGTAATTTTCAAGTCTTGGTGTAATATTCTTAAGTTAAAGGCATAACATTCTAAAATAATAGGGAGACAATATGAACATCAGCAGTTCCCAGAAGCTAGAAGGGAGGAGAAAACGAACAGGCAGGACATAGAGGGCTTTTAGGGCGGTGAAAGTACTATGTATGATACCGTAATGGTGGACACATGTTATTATGTTTCTCAAGAACCCACAGAAAATACAAAACCAACAGTGAACCCTAATGGGAACCCCAAACTCTGGGTGGTAATGTGTCGTGTAGGATCAGTGATTATAGCACATGCACCCCTTTGATGAAGGTGCTGATAACGGGGGAGGCTGTACTGGTGGCAGGGGAGGAGAGAGATGGGAATTCTCTGTACTTTCCACTGTTTTACTAGGAACCTATACTGCTGCCCTGTAGTCTATTTAAATAATAATATAAAGAGATAGTATTTGTCCTAGGTTAAAATATGTGTAAAACCATACTAAGTGGAAAAATTATGAAAAAAAACTTATCAACTGTTTAATTCAAAGTTCTAGATTCAAATATGCAAATGAAGTTTTTCTATATTAGAAAAAAATGCCCACAGCTTGCACGATTGACCATTCTGAATGTTACCAGAACTTGCAAATATAGTAACTGGAAATTAAGGCAGATGAAAACACCTGTCTCTGTGCAAAACATGGCCCCTCTCAGGTCAGAGTGGGTGAAGATCAATAGCTAAGATGGCGACCAAATAAAACTGCAAGGTAACAAAAACAATTATAAACACTGCGCTTCCCAAAGACAAAAGGAAAGTACTAGAAAGCGAACCTTAAAGTGTACTGTATGAAATTTTTACTGTACATTTTAGAATATGAAACATACCCTTCTTCATGTTGTGATGCAATGCATAGCTGCTTCTTTTATCTGATATATATATAGATATATATATATATATTTTTTTTTTCCCTATAAAGGTGTCAATGAAAATATATTCTCGGAAAAAACACCCGAGCACTTTAACGGTGCCTCTGCCATCACCGCGCCAGCCCAGGCCCACAGTATCGAAGGAAGAAGAGCTAACATGTTGACATCTGTTTTAGGCTAAAAATGGAAATTGTGAAGTTCTTCACTCCTCTTCCAAGAGTTCCCTGGAATGGATGAAAAAGCTTCAAAAGACTTGGCTCCAAGGGAAGTTCTAGGCAACGTCTACACAGCACAAAATGAAATGGAGACTTGGCATCCACCTAAATAATTAGAGCTGTGTTGACTACTGCAAAAAAAAAGTGGCAGTGGGGGGGGCTAGAGCTAGCTCCTTTTGTGACTTGAAATCATAAAATAGTTCACAAAGCTCCAGAGTTTTCCTTTGTGTGAATGAGGATATTAAATTTTCATATAACTCCTTCAAAAGCTCCTTGCCTTCAGCAAAGTTGGACAATGAACATTAGTGTAGGCCAGGTAGTATGCTGCTCAAAGGGGCACAGATGGCTTTATCTTTCAGAAACATGAGGCCACAGAATGTCTGGAGGCTGAATTTCAAAGACACCCATCAGTAGTTTTTTTCTAACACTAGATCGATTTAACCTGTAAAATCATGATTTTCTCAAGACTGAGTCAAGACGAACTACCATTTGTTACCATCTTTACGTGGACTGGTCGTGTGAGAACACACCATTCTTTACAAGGGTTCTTTTTACGTAAAGCAGAAACACTTTTGTTTTGCTTCTTAGTTGGAGTG